ACCCAGAATATCCAATTTCATTATAAATATGAAGCCAATGAGACACCTTGGTCAGTCAAATAACATTTTTTATATTCAAGTTTGTTTAAATCAGAATAGAATATACTCATTAAAGTATAACACTAATTAGGAAAGCATGCTATAATTTAAGGGAAACAAGATATCTTCGGATCATGCATATCTCAGCAGAGTTCATGCTGCTCAACTTGAATGAACTTTTACCTCCTAGTTGCCATTATCTTGACATAAGTCAAAAAGAACTTTAGAATGGAAGCATCTTTTTCATGCCCTTTTTAACTTGCCCCTAAAGTACTCTACTGCATGTAATCATGTTATGGGATCACCCATGGTCCCCGATAAGACCATAATTGTTAGATATCCTACGTTGTCTAGAAATAAGGTCATACTAGTATATATAAATTGGGAACAATCTTTATTTCATAAATCGATTTTGTAAGGTTGAATTAAATTGTTATCCACTATGTAAAAATATCATTCACCTTCTTTTGATCCCTTTGAAGTTGAATTATGGGGACTCCTCCTTGACTCTAGCTAGTGATACTTTTGCTCTTGCACATCCCAGTTGAAGAATTGGCCCAAATGTGAGCATTGTTGCTATCTTGTGCATACTATTGATTGTTGTTGGAAGTTATACGGCATGCCATCTTGTCTACTAGTGTGGTCTAAACACCACCCATTGTTAACCCATCTCAGCATAACAACCCTAGCTACACTATTAATCTTCAAAGATTTCCTCCAAAGGCATGAAAATCACCAAAATCCTGATGTCACTACTTTAGTTGCATACATTGGTAATTCTTTTGCTTGCCTATTTTAGACTCCTTTCCCTTTGTCCTAGGGTTGTTGACATCAATGCATCTAACCACATATTTGATAAACATTTTTTATTCTCTTCTCTTTGTACATCTCAAAATTTACCAAGAATCACTATAGGTAATGGTTCTCAAAAGGATGGACACTACTCACACACTTCCTTCTCTAATAGTAGAATATGTTATATATTGTAGATATTCAATTTCGTTCGGACCAACAAAAGCAATGAAATGGACATCTATCATCAAAGAAATGGAGCTCCCAAGCATGGAAATAACAGGACATGACATCAGAAGACCTAAATCATAAAACCTATCAGAAAGGCACATATAATTTCCATATCCCTATGATTATTATAGCAAAAAAAAACCATATGTGCAAGTATAGTTATATCCATATCTAGAAATCATTATTTCTAGACATTCAAAAGAGGAATGCGACATACCAAATTATATGTAGGTGTTAAGACCACTCGAAAAACATGAGACTCGAAGGTTACATTTAATTGGCCATTCGAAAGAATGATATAGGGACGACACTTATCGGGAACCTTATTTGTTTGTATTCGAGACATGGTCGAATAGAAACTGGTCGAGTAAAACAAAGAGATGCTCGAAAAATGGAAGAAAGAGGCTACTAGAGGTTTTCAAGTAGTGTTTGATTATCCTAGTGAAAAATAAATCGAAGAGATAAAAACACGTGGGGCGAACGGTTACGAGAAGTTATATTTCAAACCCACGAAAAGGATGTAGTGACGAATGGTTACGAGAAGTTATATTTTAAACCCACGTAAAGGACGTAGTGGATGGCAGTTATGCGCCCATGATGGATTCACGTAGGAGTAACCACCCTCGAGGAGAGTTTATAAATACGAGAACCATACCCCATACAGGAGGCTGGAAAACTCATACTTGAACTGAACTCTCAAGCATTCTCCGCCTGCGCATATGGCTTTCGTGCAAGGAATTGTTTTTGGGTATGACTACTTCTCAGCCACTTTTCTTTTCTCTTTTTAGGATTAGAATTAGTGTAGTTTCTTTTTTGTTAATCACGTAGTTTAGTTGCATAATTATGCTTCAGCATTTCAATTGTAATTCTATGCAAGTGAACCATGATCTGTATTGCAAATATATGTATTGTTCATTCTGTTCATCTGAGTATTTATGTGCATGAAAATTATTACTTGTTAATTATTGATGAATATTTAGAAACAAGTAATTATTAATCTCTCTACTCCATGTTCTCTTGTTCCTCAAAATTCAAAACGTAATATACCTAAATTGAAACATTTGTCGTGCTAGTTCGAATAAAAAGAATCCATAAACGAATTCCACCATAAACAAATTGGCACGCCCAGTGGGACACGTTTAATTCCAAACATAATTGAACTAGTTTTAGGTATGCATGTTGTATGAGACTTAGGAGTGGAAGAACCATGTTTACGTCTAATAATTCTAATAGCAGGAATAATACCAAGTAGATGTAGAACACGGAAATCCTAACTCAGATGATGTAGTTGTTGTGACAAGGGGGCAACATCACCCCCTGTAGTACTCGAAAACGTGGCTAGGAAAACCAATGTGTCCCAATAACTCGTAAATGCCACTAGAGAATATCCCTGGGGTATGCCACAGAATTGGCGAAAAACCCAACCTGTACACGTCGAAATGTCAATGCCCTATTTAGGACCAAATTCACAAATGCATGTATTCCCACAGGGTTATAATCCTGGTCCAAATGGTTTGGGTTTTGTCATGCAAGACCCGTACCAAGACGTAGGCACTAGTCACGAAGGATCTCTGGTTCAACAAAGTAATTATATTCCCACGGGGATTAGTAATCGAGCCATGATGGCTCTTCGACAACAGATGGATCATAGTAATCATGACATGGTCAATTTGTTGTCAACTCAAATGCATAACCTAATGACTCCCCTGTATGAATTAATAAACAAAATAGGAGATAAATTGGGTGATGGCCCACCTTCGAGAGTCATGAGTGCAAATCTAAATGAGATGGAAAATCTAGGAGGGAATGGAGTTATTCCTCAAAATGAAGGTCAACCTAATAGGATTCCCAATGATAATTTAGATCAAATTGTAGAGAGGGTACTAAACAGGCATGGTTTCGAAGTAGGTCGAAATGAACGTCCTTATTTTGTGTCTACTTTTCCGGATTATATAACTCAGGTAGAACTGCCTAGGGGGGCAAAGGTCCCAAAATTTTTGAAATTCTCGGGAGAATTAGATGAGTCTACGGTCGAACATATAGCTAGATATCTAGTCGAATGTGGAGATTTAGCGAATAATGAGTATTTAAAAATGAAGTATTTTCTGAGTTCGCTGACTAAGCATGCTTTTACATGGTTCACAACGTTACCTCCTAATTCGATAAACACTTGGGCTCAATTGGAAAGTAGCTTTCATGAACATTTCTTCAAAGAAGAAACAAAAGTTAGTATAGTTGATCTAATGAACGTTAAAAGACAAAGCCATGAAACATTAGACGACTATTTGAATAGGTTCAGGCAGCTAAAATCTCGATGTTATACTAATGTACCTGAACATGAATTAGTTAAAATTGCTGCAATAGGGTTAAATTTCTCGATTCGTAAGAAATTAGTGAATGAACAGTTAAGGGATATGGCTCAGTTGGCAGAAAAGGTAAGAAGGATCGAACAGATTAAGTTAGAAAAGGAAAGATTAAGAAAGTTTGATAGGTTTGTTCGAAAAGAAAAGGTAGCCTATTTAGAAAACGCAGAGATAGGTGAGGATGCTAATTGTGAGATCTCGAGTGAGGATTTTGAGGTTAACATAGCAGAGTTACGTCCTGGTCCTACTTATCAATGTCAAATGTTAAAACTAAGAGATAATATGGAAGGAAGTTCGACTAAGAAATATAGTTTTGACGTGACTAAGACAGATAAGATATTCGATATTTTATTAAAAGATAAGCAAATTGCACTCCTAGAAAATCATAAAATTTCGCCATTCGAGCAAAGAAAAGGGAAGAAATTTTGTAAATACCATAATATGTATGGTCATTGGACTAATAACTATGTGGTTTCAGGAATATGATCGAGAAAGCAATTACTGATGATCGCTTAGCTTTCGAGGAGAAAGACATGAAGGTGGACACTGACCCATTTGCAACTCACACTGGATATGTAGAGCCAGTTTCGATGGGAATCAATATGTTTGAGGTTAGTGTTGAGGATGATAAGAATATTGAGCCTATTTCTGATGAAAAACTCGAGGAGTTGATGGATGATTTTGCTAAGGAAGAAGAGCCTATCTATCCAAAGGAGGGAGATAGCCTGGTCGAGTTTTTATCTAAGAAAAAGGAGGCTGATAGAGAAGTCATGCTATTTCCTCGATGTAGTGCTGTTTTCGATATAGCCGCTGCTAAGGCTTTCGAAGAGTCAGAGATCATGAGGAACTACAGAGCTAAAAAACTTCGAGAGAAGGTTAAACCCAATACTGGGTCGAACACTGGTTTAATAATGAGGCAAGTACACATGCCTCAATATAATGCCCTTATGGGTAAGATGGAAATGTACAATTCATCGAAATTCGGCAATACTTTTGTGCCGAATGCTAACGTCCCAATAGGAAAATGGAATGCCCCACCAAGACAAATGGTTGGTGGAATGGGTCGAGGAAAGCAAGTTATGAATTATGCTGGGCCTACGTTCCAAGGAATTCCCGGAAAGTTCTCGAATGTATCTACAGGGCCTGGCAAATTCTCAGCTGGAAGTTATGGACGTGGTTTTCGATAGTCCTTTAATAATCCAACCTAAACCTAGTGGAGAAGGCAACAAAGAATGAGGAAAGCTACCTTTGAAGGTTTCAGAGGGAATCATTTTTCGATCCCGGTACCACAAAAAAGGTGAGTCGTCTCGAAAATTCATGGAAGATGATGAGGATCTGATAACTGACTATTTCGAGAGTGGCTTCGATGAGTCTCTGGAGGATATCTGTGGGATAATATCAATTCTGTCTTCTGAGTATGCTGGAGCTATGGAATCTGTTAATGAGTAGGAGGATATCCATCGAGAGGATTTTTTGGATGATCCTAATTATGAGTCCAAGATTGTGTGGGTTAATCAAATTTCGAGGGTTATTCCCAAATTTAACTCAGTTGTGTTTGATTCTCCTACTGAAGAGATGAAGGGTCATCTTAAGCCTTTGGTGTTAACCTTGATGATCGAAGGGCATGAGGTAAATAAGGTTCTAGTTTATGGAGGAGCAGTTGTAAACATACTTCCGAAGACTATGCTGAAAAGGTTTGGGAAGTCCACGGCTGATTTAAAGCCCCATAATATACTTATTTCAGATTATGCAGGAAAGTCATCCCACCCTGAGGGCATGATTTTTCTCGATGTTCAGATCGGAAGCGTGAAAAGAACTACTATGTTCGTAGTAACTCCATCGAAGGCAAATTTCAATGTCTTGTTGGGGCGTGAATGGATTCATGGGGTGGGAGTTGTCCCTTCAACTCTTCACCAAAAGATTTTCTTTTAGAATGATGATGAAGGTTTGGAAGTGCTCGATGCGTATCAGAAAGAGTATGAGGTAGGAATGTACTTCGCAGATCAACAATTAACTGCATTTGCGAAAACAAGGCCTTTTGATGCCCACAATGCTGGTGTTATGAATGAAGAAGAAGGTGTTAGGAAAATATTTTGTTGGGATGTGAAAAGAGGTTTTGTAATTCATTTATGTTTTAATAATTATATTATTGATAAAAAGTATTTATTAATTTTATTAATTATTAATTTTTGATAAAAAATTTGATTTCTTTTTTTTTTAGTGAGGTTTTTCTTCTCTGACACTTTTTTATTATTATTATAAACAATACTGGAATTCGAGAATCGAATTCAATGTGATTCAAATCAATAATTTATTAATATTTTAAAAATATATTAATAAAATGGTAAAATTAAGAAAAGTAAATTGAAAAGAGATGTAGTTTAATTTGATAACGTGTTTGTTTTGGATACAAAATGTCTCGATTTTGAATCCTCTTATACTACTTCGAATTATTATTTTCTATGATATTTCTTATTATATGAATAATATAACGAAATGAATTGAAGAATAATTCTAATTAAATATAAATACTTAATATTCATATATAAAATAAAATGCTGTTAGTTTAGCTTGGTAGAGCGCGGTCTCCAAATTTTGATGTCGCAGATTCAAATCCTACGTAGCGTGATGATTCATCCGTACGTAATATTATTTCAAAAAAATTTATAGTAACCATCTTATTTGAGAGGGTACTAATACAATTTTTTATATTTTATATTTTTAATAATTTATTTAAATAATATTTATGATATTTTATTCTTTCGATTTTTAAATTATTTAGTTATTTTATTTTTATTTTATATATTCTAATTTATTTGTAATAATATTATTATATATTTAAATAATTTAATTTTAATAATTTTTTAAGTATATTTTTATCTTTTCACTTAAAATTTTTGAATTTCTATATTTTAATTTTAATAATTTTTAAGTATATTTTTTTGTCTTTTTGTCTTAAATTTTTGAATTTCTATATTGTAATTTTAATAACTTTTTATTTCTACTATTTATTAATTTTTCCTTTTTTAATATTTTATAATATTATTAAAATCTTATAATTTTAATTATTTGTAATAATATTATTATATATTTAAATAGTTTAATTTTAATAATTTTTTAAGTATTTTTATCTTTTCACTTAAAATTTTTGAATTTCTATATTTTAATTTTAATAATTTTTTAAGTATATTTTTTTTGTCTTAAATTTTTAAATTTCTATATTATAATTTTAATAATTTTTATTTTTATTATTATTTTTTTTTCATTTTTTAATATTTTATAATATTATTAAAATCTCTCAATTTTTTAGGGTACTGTAATAATTCCCTATTAAAAATCCTAAATCCAATAAGAAAAAGACAATTTGAAGAGTCTTTGTTTTACGGGAGAAAGTAAAAGAAAAGAAAGAACATAGTTCGAAAAGGACTAAAAAGTAATATGATTTTTATATTATTTAATATGAAACACAAAGAGAAAAAGTATGTGTCTAAAATGACATAAATATTTTAAATAAAAAATAAGATGGAAATGAAACAATATATTTTGATTATTATAAAAAATTAGTTTGTATATCCGTACAGTGTCCGGATAAATTATGTGTGAAAAAGTAATATTTATATTTAAAAAAATAAAGTTAAACTTTAAAAATAATAAAAATAGTTATATATATATATATTATTTTAGTTTTTCATGTAACAATTTTAAATTGTTAATATATTAAATAATGGTTGACAGTTCTTAGTTTTTTAATAAAGTAGTTAGAAATCACAATTGGGATATAATGTGATAAAATTTGTTAAAACAAAGTGTTAATTGCATGTAAGCAATGATACATACAACATATATCTATAATATATTTTTTTTATTTTAAAAAGCCATCAATTTTTGTAATGCTTACTTCAATTGGAAAAAGAGGATGCGTCACCCTGACCAAAATTGCATTGTCAATAATAATTTTTATTCTCACCCTATGTGAAAACACTCTTTTATCCCCAAAGAATTATAAATAAAGATTTTTATGAAATATTTAATTAAAGAGTATCTAAAATAATCCATCAAGTAAAAGGTTCATAGTTCATTAAATAAAACTCTTTAACATAAAAAGGAAAATAAGCATGAATATAAGTTTCAAAACAAAGACACAAATCGGTCTTTTATACAAAACTTTCAAGGTGAAACATCATAAAGACAATTAGAAAAACTCAATACATAAATAAGGAAAATAAAGTGAGATCCTCTAGACTTGATGTCACACTATTAGAGCAAAATTTACAAATAACTATTGAAGCACTAAGACTCGTGCAATGAATGCTCTTAACTCTACATATATGTGGTACTAATCTCATCATCGCCAATACAAAGTAACCTAAAAGCTGAACTAGATCACCAAACACAAGACACTCTAACAACTCCTCTAACTATTTCTTAAGCTTGATTAACACTAAAGGAGATATATTATAGGGTGTTACATATATTAGTTTGGTTCCTAGTACTACATTTATGGAAAATTCTATCTCACGTTCAGGTGGTAGACTATAAATGTCCTTAGGAAACTCACTCACTATAGGTATCTCACTCACTACAGCCTTACTCTCCAACCATAAGGAAGCTAACATCATGTATACTTAGGCATCCTTTGTGAAAAATGCCTTAACCTTCTTGGTAGTTAAAAAGTCTTTACTCTTACCTTCAATAAACTGACCAAAGATAATTGTTTTACTAGAACAATTTAGCAGGACATGGTTGGAAGATAGTCAGTCCATACACAGAATAACTTATAGTCTAATTGACTAAGAGGTAAACGAATTAAGTCAGTTATAAAACTCCTACCTACAATTTTCAAAGGACATTTACAAAGCTAGAAATTGGTCCACTAGTTGAAACTTCCACTACAAATTTAAACATTAAAGAAGATACATGAAATTTAAGTATCGACACACAAGCATGTGATATAAAAGAATGATTCGCACTAAAATCAAATAAGACAACCAATAGGATTCCATCAATGAGACACATATCATGGATCAAGTCATCTGACTATGAGGCTCAATACCACTTAGAGTAAAGACTCTCTTAAAATCCTTTAGTTTGTTGGCTTAGGAGTCACTCCCGCTAACACTCGCTATTTCCCCCCAGGGTTGGGACAATCCCTCACAAAATGTCCTTTCCCTTGGAAATTGTAGCAAGTTCACCCCATGCTTTGGTCAAGCAAATGACTTATATAGCCCAGACGACCACACTTGAAGCACTTCATTTGACCCATTAGAACAGATCTTGTACTACCCCATGCATAGGCTAGTTTTTGGATAGCTGCTAACTCCTCGATTGAGACTGTTGGCTCCCTTAATAGATACCAGACTGACTAACAAGTCCCACACTCCTATAGTGTGCTGCACACGTCCTACCATCCTTATCATATATGCGACACATATTTAGTAATATGGGAAAATGATAAATCTCCTAATAATTTACAAATTGCTTGATCTTCAATTGCATGCTATTGATGTGATGTCCAAAATCATTACTAATTTATTTTGATTTTTAACATTTAATTTATTTAAATATATTAACTTTGGTGAAATATAATCAATAATAAAATTTCTAAAAAACATGTATAAATGCAATGGTATTTAAATCAATGCATATTAAAAAGTGTAACTAAAATTATTTTGATTACACTTTCCAAAATATATTGATAGATTGAATCTTTATCAAAGGAATAAGCATAATTAAAGGAGTATGATAATTTAAAAGATATATAACTTTACATGCAAGAACCTAAGATGAGTCATATCTTTATACATATAAAGTTTGTTACATACATCCATAACTGTTTTTCAAAAAGAAGTAGAAGATGTAGCACCTTACAAAATATGAGGTATAACACTACAAAACAAAGGCATTTAGCGACCACCAAAATCGGTCGCTAAATTGCTCAAATCGGTCGCTATTTACCTTAACGACCAAATTTAAGTAGTTGCAAAAACCTGTTGTAAAGGCATATAGAGACGAAAATATTGCAGGTTGCTATTTAGCGACCAAAATTTTCAGTCGCAAAATGATCGTTATCATTTTGGTAGCTCTTGTACATAGGGACCAAATTAGTGACCAAATGTGATGACGCTAAATCGGTCGATAAGTATGTTTTTATTTTTTTTATAAAATAAAAATGATTTTTAATTTAGTCTCTAACTCAGTTGCTAAATATTTATTTGTTATTTTATTAAATTTTATAGGCGTCATAAATTCGGTCTCTATTCGCGTCACTAAATTATTAGTGACACATTTTTTAGTCACTATGAGTTATATTCCGGCGCTAATTCAGTCGCTATAAGTATAGCTGTCAAAACGGGCCAACCCGGCCCATGTGGGCCGGCCCACCTTAACCCACTTTAAAAACGAGCCAACCCAACCCGGCCCACTTGTGATTTTCTCAAAAAAAATTTGGGCCGGCCCGGCCCACCACGGGTTGATGTGTTATACGGGCCAGCCCACCAGCCCACCAAAAATTAAAAAAAAAATTATCAACAAAATTCAAAATTTTAAATTAATTATATATTAACATAATAGTCATAAAATTAGCATCATTAATAGTCATAAGTCATAATTCATCATACAAAATTAAATACAAATCATGATAAAAGTCTAAAATAAAAATTTTCAATATATCATCATACAAAATTAACTACAAATCATACTTAAATTTTTATTGTAAAAAAAAATGGTGGGTTGGTGGGCTACCCGGCCCACCACGGGTTTAGCCCGGGTGGACCGGGTCAAAGTGGGCCGGGTTGAGATATACCCACCTACTATAAAACTTCAATTTTTTTTTGCCTGGCCCGGCCCGTTTTCAAGGTGGGCCCGGTTGGCCCACGGATCCCATCCCACTTTGACAGCTCTAGCTATAAGTTTTATTTTGTCACAAATTCGGT